GTTTGGTCTCGCGTCGTCATTGGTCCACTTTTGAAGCTTGCCCGCGGCGACCTTCAGGATGTGGCCGGGGGGTCCTGATGGGGGGGGACGCTGCGAACCTGGGCGAGGATTTCTCTGGGGACCAACGCCGTCTTCGCCCCGGGGCTCGGAGAACCCGCGCGGAGACGTGGTTCAAATCCGATGCTGGGGGGAGGAAGGGGATGGATCGACTCAAGATCAGGTCGGGCCAGCAACAAAACGGCATACTCTCCCAGGCAAACCTGCAGGCCGCGCTTATGCGTGGTGCTGATGCGCGTGCGTTTAGCCCGCATCAAGTCATGGAAATTTGATCGTCTTCTGGGAAAGACCCTGGGGTGATCTTTAAAGGGGCCCATCTGGATCTCGCTTGAGCCCATTCTTCCTGCCGGGGTCCGGTCGACGTCGCGAGCAGGGGCGCAGGGCGGTGCGCAGCTGGGTGTTGGATGGCCACGGCCTCCCACAAGTCCGAGCACGTCCGCAGTGATGTGCTGAAGGCCCCGCGGCTGTGAAACGTCGCCTTTGCCGCCGCTGCCGCCGCTGCCGTCGCGGATTTTGTGCCGCGGCGCGAAGAGGCTGGATAATGGTCTCTCCCGCAACCAGGTGCCCTGGGCGACTCCAAGGGCGCGGCCCTGAATCTCGCAGAGTTCAGCCCAACCGTAGTTGCGGAGAGCTGTGCTGCCCGGCTCAGAAATCAGTGCATCCAGGAAGGCGCCAAGAAGGTTCGCGCCGCGACTGCCGTCAACGCGCGGGGCCTCGCCCCCCGAGAACTTTGGCGGGGGTGCTGCGAGCGGAAGGTAAACTCCATTAAGTTGGGTGTGGCGACCGTTGAGAAGTTGAGGGTGGAACGCATTCTTCGGGGCCCTCCCGGCTGGGGGGGGGGGGGCGCTGTCGAGGCGGGGTTATATTGCTTGCTCTGTGTGCACCAGATGGGGCATGAATGACTATGCGTGGCGCCGCGTTTGGTCTTGCTCGATTGCGCCAGCTGCCCGCGAAGAAGTGTTCTCCCTGAACTCAGCCAGCAGGCGTTGAGCGGTGGGCCTGGATCTTTGCTTGGCAGCCGTGCGTGGGTTGCTCGGCCTCATGTTTCAGGAGAGCCACCAGTCGGAGACTGGGATTTTGTGCGTGCGTTTTTTCCGGGGCACAGCAGGGGCGCATCGACCCGCCTGAGATTATTGCTGGGGCTCGGCTGCTTACAGATGGTTCGTGCGTGTTTCCCCAGTTGAGCCATGTCTCTCGCGTTGGCATGCGTGGTTCAGGTAGATGATGGATTCGAAGCAGTCTTGTCCAGGGCAGTCGATCTCCCATCCCGGGCAGCATGGAACAGCCCAGCGGCGCTGCGTGGCGCTGTGCCGTCATGGCTGCCGCCTTATACTGACCGGGTAAACTCATGTAGATTACGCAGCGCTCCTCAGGGCTGAGAAGGCCCATCAGTGGGCCTTGTCGGGGGCCGACCCCAAGTCGGAACCAGGCGTTTAGTTGGATTAGTACTCTGCGCGCGCTTCGTTTCGCTGCCTGCCGCCTCCTTGGAACGCGTAGACCAAGCGAACGTGTCCATCGCAATGTGCTGCCGGCCTCATCGAGGACGCGCGCGCTGTGCATGCAATTTCATTTGTTGATGGAAGGCGACGCGATGCTCGATGCATCAGCCCCCCGGTTGGTTCGAGCGGCCCCCGAACAGACATCGAGGCCACATGTGCTTTTATAGTCGCGGCTTGATCCCGTTCAATCAGCGCGTATTTCAAGGCTACCCAGCAATGTCGCCAGGAACATTCATGCTCGAACGAATATGTGCACCGTTCTTCTCCGCGGGCCTTAGGTGCAGGGTCGAGCGCGCCGCGCCGCAGATCGGCGCGCGCGCTAAAGCGCGGGCGCGGACCTGCGCCGACCGGCCTGCCGCCTCAATGCGCGCGCAGTGTCTGCCCCTGGAGCCCCCGCCGGGCTGGGTCGGCCAAGTGGGAGATTTCGTTCTTTTGGGTGGGCCAAAGCCAGAACTGTTTCATTTCACCAGTCGCGGGTTTGGGTTGCGTCCCTGTCTGGGGCGAATGCGAGTGGTTCTTTGCGGGCTTCTGCGGGGGGCTGGCTCTCGGGCGTATCGTGCCTCTCTTGGGGCCTGTCGCGCTCTTCCTCGGGTTCTACTACTGGCTCTCCCAAAGCTCCCGTGGAGCCATTGGGCCCACTTGCGTCAATGCGGAAGCTCCTGGAGATGTCTCGGCGACGCATTGGGGATCTCTGTGTTTCGCCAGATGCCCCGGGCGGCTTCTCGGCGCATTCAGGCCGACGTGCGGCCCCCCTTAGTCCCCGGCCGCCCACAGAGCGCCATTGGTGCGTTGAGGGTTTTCCTCAGGCGGCAGGCAATGGTGTCCAAATGTCGTGCGACGCCGTGCTGGGCGCCCCTGCAAATCGCGAGCTCGGTTGGTTCGCGCTTTCGGCGTCGCGTCGCGCAAATGTCGGCCTCATCGTGATCAGTGATAATTTGGGCATGAGGGCCATAAAATCAAAATGTACAGGCCGACCAGCGAAAGGTAATGAATTCTGTTCCCTACCAAGGCCCACGTTTGACGCGAAATCGCTTGGTTGTGCCCGTGGCGTTCTCTATGCCATATACAGGTCGGCCGCCAAATTGCACGCTACTCCAATTCATGGTACGGGTAGGGTGCTTGCGGAGAGGTCCACGTTTGGGGAGTTGGGTGAGTTAGGTGGGGTGCGGGAGGGTCCGAGGGCCGCTCCCAAGCCGATTGCCCCTTGCACGCCTGTTTGGAACCGAAGGAGGAGGAGGAGGAGGAGGAGGAGGAGGAGGAGGAGGAGGAGGAGGAGGAGGAGGAGGAGGAGGAGGAGGAGGAGGATGAGGAGGTGTAACTTGTGCTTCTGTCTCCTTGGATCCTGGTCTGGCCCTTTCTCGGTAGTTTCGGTCCGGGACGTGCTGAATGTGACGGCCTCAACCCTTCCCTCTCGGAGCTTTTGGGAAACCCTCGCAACCATCATGTGTTGCATGTTTCGTGGGCGGAGGCCAGTGGCTTCAACGTGCTACACTGTGTCGTGTGCGGGGTTTTCACCAAGTGTATCGTGTGCGGGAGGCTAACCAGGCCGTGTTAGTGCAAGCCCAGCTCCGACAGCAGGAAACTCACGATGAGAATCCTGCCCGACACTGGGGTTCGACTCCGCCCATCGGTCCCCCTCTCCCTGTCAGGCTGTGAACTGCGGGCCGAGACGGTGGGCGAATTTCTCTTTCTGAAGTGTTGTCGCTCTTGTATGAGACTTCCTTTATTACAGTCACACAGTCACAAAGGATAATAAGGAGGAGGAGGAGGACGAGGAAGCGGAGGAGGAAGCGGAGGAGGAGGAGGAGGAGGAGGAGGAGGAGGAGGAGGAGGAGGAGGAGGAGGAGGAGGAAGAGGAGGAGGAGGAGGAGGAGGAGGAGGTGTAGGAGGAAGAGGAGGGGCAGGGGGAGGATGCAGAGGGAGAGGATGAGGATGCAGATTAGGAGAAGGTGGAGGTGGAGGAGGAGGAGGCGCCAAGCACAGTTTTCCCCTTCTTAGGGGTGCGCTTCACAGACGAAATTGCACTACGGCTTCCGGGGGCACTGGTGATCGGGGCAGGCGGGCATTCGTCAGGCAGGCTTCGCCTTTCGCTCCCAGGAGCATACCCCGAGCATCGCGTACAGCACAGCAGCGTGCTGGCCACTGGCTGGCCAGCCCTCCTGGCCTCGTCCGTCGAGCAGATGGGCTCTGCGAGGATGAGGGGTTGTTTATGCGCCGTGGCGGGAGCCCCGACTCGAACCCCTGGGACTGCGAGCGCGCCGCAGCCCCTGGGCCCTGGAAGGGGACTTGGTTCCGCGGGGGTCATCGTGATTGTTTTCCTGGACGGGGGGGAGAATCTTGGAGAGTCTGGGTGCCTTTTTGCAGCTTGCCGGGGCTCCGGGGAGGTTCTCCAGGGGGATGCGCAACCAGTACCGCTCCCAGAACGCCACCCTGTTCCCGTTCGTGGGCTTCTGCATTGTCTCTGTTGTCAACCGTCTGACTCTGGCGAAGGGGGACCTGTTGCTGTCATCGCCGCTGCCGCTGTCCTGCCTGCAGCACTGTGGCCGGCAATGACGACCACGACGACGGCGAAGGCGACGGCGGCGGCGAGGATGTGATGATGCCGAGAGCAGATCTCGTCATCATCACATAGGCACTGAGCCTCGAGATATGTAGCGGCTCGCTGCTCTGAGCTACGAGCTCCTATCCCGAGGCGCAGTCCACAGGCGGGCAAATTGGTGCGGCCCACGATGGCGTAGTACGATACGACATTGCAGGCGAGGCTGGTCTGTGAGTCTGCATGCGCTTCTTCAGAAGGGAGCTCTCTGTGCTGTGCACCCAGTGCCCGCATCCGAAATGCATCGTCGCAGAAGCCAGGGTCTGGGCCACAGTCACATCGTGAACAGGCCACACCGTTTGCCCGCCCTTTGTCGGTGAACTCCTCGGAGGCTTCCGTCGTCTTCCCTGCCCCTCCGCCCATCGAGAATAAAATAATCCCTAACCCTAATAACACAGTGAAGACGTGGCCTCATTGAGGTCTCCGTCTCCGTCTTAGGGATAATAGATCTGGGCGATTTGGTTTTGCACATCTGCAGAACGACCCCCTTATCCCTACTGTTGTTGGTCCTCCTAACATAGGTTCCCCCTCAAATGATCAGGGGTCCTTTTGTTGATAATCATCCACCTCCCGATCGGCACGCTCGCTGTCGGCAGCGCCCCGCGCGGCGCTCGTGGCCTGCCCGCTGGCCTCCCGCCCTGCGCCGCAGCTCCGGCCGTGCGGAGCGCTGCCGTTCAGGACCGGAAAAAGCATACAGAGGCAAGTGCGTGGCATCAGAAAGAAGCCTTCGCGCTGCCCCTCCCTGCTTTGTTCCGCCTGCCCTCGGCGCGGACCTCTACTCCGCCTGTGCAGCGGGTCTTCGGCCACGCTTGATGGGGTGGAATGTGGCCAGAAGACCCGCGGCCGAGGGGGCGCCTCCTGGCATGGTGATGGAGCCCGTGGCGGTGACGATGCAGCAGCCCTCCACGGAGCCGGTGCTCGAAGAAGGAAAGATTGCATAAGACTAAACTTTTGGAGCTCCGCGCGGATTTTTCGGATTTGCGCCCGACCCCCATGGCGGCGCCTCCGGCGCCGCCCCTGGCGCTCCGCGCGCCAAGGAGGGGGGCCCAGCGTGGATCCAAGAAATCGGGGCGGATCTCCAAAAGTTTGTGTTTATATGCAGATTTTTGTTCCTCCAGGTGCAGACGTACGGTGCACCCGGAGCCGGAGCTGGAGCTGGTTACGAGGCGCCACAGGCAGGCCCGACCCAGGGCCCCAGGGGGGGTGGGGGGCGTCTCGCTCGTCGCGTTGGCGATCGGGCAGGGTGGCGATTACGGTGGTCCCGAGCGGCGAGCATGTTCATACGGCCGCCAGCGTTCAACGATGAACGCCGCCAGCGACCCAGAATCGGTCGATGTCTCACGATACGACGTTTCGAAAGCCGCCGATCGTTCAAGGTTGAACGACCCTCTCGGTGTCAGGAGCCAAAGCCCAGGTCGTCACGACACAAACCTGCCGTATCCGTGCCCTCGGGGTTTGGATGCCGAGGCGCGATCCCACGGATGCGAGACCCCCCCTGGGCTCCTTCCGCGCGGGGTGCCCGCGCAAGGCCGCCCTGTGTCCATGCGGTCGGGAGCGCGAGTCGCAGCCGAGGATTAAGGAACGCGAGGCTGAGGTCACAGATATGTTGCCTGCCGACAACGTGAACAGAAGAAGGTGGTTAGCTTCAGCCTCTGAGAACTGCTTCGAGGAATGGTCCATTAAATTCGAATAAGAAAAACGCCATAAATATAAACTTTCGGCGCTCCGCGCGGAGCGCTACAATTTTCTGTTTACGCAGTTTTTCTTGTTATATTTGTTTCTTTCCGCTCTCTGCCTAGACCTCTGGCGGCTGGATTTTTTCGAGCCGCTGGCCCCCAGAGTTCTCGACCCCGTCCCCGTTGCCTGTTTCTCATCCTGGGTAGTTTTTGTTGCTGGGATGCGAAGTGCCGGGAGGCTGACGACGGAGAAGTATTCCGGGCGTTTGTTCTTCTTTTCGAGTCGCCAGCGGTCTGGGTGCGTAGAGCGAGCAGCTTCCCAGGGAGGCTCTTCAGAGTTCAGAGGTCGTTAAGAATACAAAACAAGTATCAGGAGGAGAAAAAACGCAGACACGAATAATCGTCGATTATCATGAACATATGGGAACATGTGGGAACTGGAGGGGAAGACGAACATCCAGGAAATCTGGAAAACATTGGGAATCCTGGGATTCGTGTCTATCCGTAAGGGCTTCGCCCCCTGCCGCCGGCCCCCTCTCTCGGAGAATGGGCCATGGAAGAGCTAAGTCATGAGGCTTTGGCGCTGTCGTGCAGCAGTATCGGAACTTCATGCGAGGCCGATTCGCAATCGGCAAAACCAACTGATCACAAGAGGGGTTACCACACAGGGCGATTGGTAAGACGTGTATGGTTTACGAGCTTGGTTACCACACCTTGGGATTAAAGGGCCGAGGGAGTACTCGCAGTTTGGGTTACCACGCCTTGCGATGGATGTGCGTGAGGGGTGGCACCGAATTTCAGAAATGTGGCAAATCCCCTGTGTTTTTGGACCCTGACCCCGCGGATCTGCGTGAGGGGTGGCACCGAATTTCAGAAATGTGGCAAATCCCTGTGTTTTTGGACCCTGACCCCGCGGATCTGCGTGAGGGGTGGCACCGAATTTCAGAAATGTGGCAAATCCCTGTGTTTTTGGACCCTGACCCCGCGGATCTGCGTGAGGGGTGGCACCGAATTTCAGAAATGTGGCAAATCCCCTGTGTTTTTGGACCCTGACCCCGCGGATCTGCGTGAGGGGTGGCACCGAATTTCAGAAATGTGGCAAATCCCTGTGTTTTTGGACCCTGACCCCGCGGATCTGCGTGAGGGGTGGCACCGAATTTCAGAAATGTGGCAAATCCCCTGTGTTTTTGGACCCTGACCCCGCGGATCTGCGTGAGGGGTGGCACCGAATTTCAGAAATGTGGCAAATCCCGTGTGTTTTTGGACCCTGACCCCGCGGATCTGCGTGAGGGGTGTCGATTTCGAGCCCCCCCAGCAATTCAGACAACGCGCCCAGGGGGTGCTAAAAAATCCCGTTTGGGCCTCCCCCCCCCTCGCGCTGTCAATCAACTAGTTACAGTAACCAGCAAGAAGCAGAACTGTAACACTGGAAACTACAAGCTACAACTGGTACAGGAAACTGCGAACCTCGCGCCTACAGCCTGGTGGCCCCACAAGGGGGCCGGCGGATTAATTGCGAAGGCCTTACGGCTGTTGCCGCCGACCCTGAAGATGAGGACGCTGACAACGACGAGGTAGAAGGAGGAGAAGTAGGACGAGCAGGGGGAGGAGCCGCATGAGGAGGAGGAGGAGGAGGAGGAGGAGGAGGAGGAGGAGGAGGAGGAGGGTGACGAGGATGGGAAGGAGGAGGTGGAGACAGAGTTTCAGGGGAGGGGGGGGGGGATTGGAGGGGGTTATTTGTATTTGTGAGGGGGGGGAGACTCGGGGGTGGTAGTGGTGCCCGCAGACGTTGACGGAGAAAAGACGTGGTCTCGTGGGGGTCTTTTGGGACATTCTTGGCTCGTCCTGGGGCTTTGTTGGGCCGCGGGATTCCGGGGGGGGGGCGTCGTATCTGACCCGGGACCTCCCACGGGACTTCCCCGGGACCCCCCGCGGGACCCCCCCAGGAACCGCCCCCCCCGGCGGGGGGGGGATGAAAGGGAAGGGGCTTTTTTTCGACTCGATGACGACGTGGCTCAATTTGTGATTACGACATTGCTCACTTTCCTTTGGCTTCGCCACTTGAGGGGGAGGCCTGGGAAAGAAGAAGGAGCGACGACGACGACGATGAAGAGGGGGCAGACAGGAACGCCTCAGAGGGGGCAGAGCGAAAAGCCTCCCCCACACGCCGACACAGGGGCGGCGGATTTGTGTGTCCCTGGGCTTCTTCATCCTCGCCTTGTTGGGCAATCGGTTTGGATGTCGGATGGAGCGCTGCTTCTCCTTCCTCCTCCCCCGCCTCTCGCTTTCTGCCCCCTGCTTCCCACCTGCCTACTACCTTGCCTCCCACCTACTTTCCGCAGCTGTCGCCGCCGTCGGGGGTTCCTGGGAGGTCCAGCGGGGTGCGCTCCCACGGGGGCCCACACGAGACCTCGCCCTCCCAGAGTGCTGCCCACTGTGCAACTGTCGCCACCTTCCTGCAGTCAGGAGTGAGAGTTCCCCTCCCCCCCCCTCCGTGGGAATCCCCCGTCGGACTTTCAAACTGGTTAAACTGGTTTTCCGCTCCATTCCCCCCCCTCCCCCACTCCTTAAAACACTAGCCTTGCCCCTATGTCACGGAAGTTGTTTCTGGGAGCGCCTGGGGCCCCCAAGATACCACCCCACCCCCTAGTTTCGGGGGTCAGTTGGGGTTTGTCGCCCCCCCAATGACCCCACATTTTCGGACACGCGCTGCATGTATCGTACACTCGTGCAGGGGGATCTTCTATAGTAGCGTTTCGCTAGAGGGTTGTAGTCAAAAAGAACAAGAGAGGAGTCCCGCAGAGAGGACGGGGAGCACTACCGCAGTACGCCCAGTCCGGCAGCGGTTTTCTTTAAGATTTCTGGACACTGTATTCAGGAATTTTGTTCTCGCCCCAATGCCGGCTGCATGTTTGGTCCAGACGGCCACGACCCTTGTTGTAAACAGTCCATTGCGGTGCACATAGCCGTGCTCTCACTACTGTCCTGGCTACATCTTTTCTTTCTCGGGGCTTCCTGGCCTGCCGTGCTCCTGCTCCTCGACTCGCCCTTGCACCCTTGCTACCATGAGCGTGCCTTGCCGGGGTCATCCCGTGGCCCTCCCTCCGAGCCAGACCGCGTCCAGCCCGTGGAGGCCGCCCTGCCAGGCTGCCCAGCGAGGCCCGCAGCGGCCGCGCCGCGGCCGCCTCTCCGCAGCCGCGCGCCCCGCAGGTCATCGAGACGACCGTCACCGTGGGGGAGGCGGTGTACGTGCAGCCGGCGCCGCCCGGCTCGATGGCGCCCCGGGCCCGTCGCGCAAGCCTCTGGAGGAGGGGCAGCTGCACGAGCGCAAGCTGTCGGAGCTTCGTGTGGATTTCTGAGATTGGCGCTGGACCTTCCTGGCGGCGCCCCCGCGCCGCGCCCGGCGCGCTCCGCGCGCCAGGGAGTGGGGCCCAGCGCCGATCCGAGAATTCCGCGCGGACCTCAGACGATTTACTTGTGCCAATGCGATGTTTTTCGAGGGTTGTGGGCGTCCACGAGGGTTGTGTGAGGCATGGATGTCATGGCCAGAGCCATGGTATTTCCCAGATTGCATGGCCTCTTCTCCTTCTGCTTCTTCTCCTTCTTCTTCGTCTTCTTCTTCTTCTTCCGAATTTTCTGATTATTCTTATTCTTCTTCTGCTCCTCCTTTCAACACGTTCCCTGGCCTCCCGCTCGTCCACGCACATGCCTTGGGCCATGATGCGCAACCCCGCCTCTGCCTGGCCCCCCCCCCTCCCTCGCGCACCCGAGAGGCGGAGGGGAGCGGCATACCCATGAGAAAATGGGAATCGTACCTGGGCGAGCGTTCTCTCGGGCAGCGCCGGCGGGAATCCGAGCCCGTAGCTTAGACACATCCACCGCCCGTTGGCCGCCTGAGGCCCTTCATAGCCGCCCAGACATGGTCGCGTCGTGGAAGGGTCGCGGAGGACTGTTTTTGACAAGTTTCGGCCTCCAGGGGCTCTCGCTGGCCCCCGGGGCCGCCAAACAATGACTTGGGATGAAGCGGTCCTGGGGAAAAGGGTCGGAACTTCGGAGGACCCCGCAGTGAAAAAATCAAGGCATCGCATGTCCGGGCAAGGGCCCCAGGAGGCAGAGGACACGGATATTTTCGGGCCTTGGCGGGCCCAAAGACATCAGGATCCACTGCCTCCTGAGGTCCTTGGACACGTGCAAATGTGCAAATTCAGGGCCTCGGACGGGTCCTTGGTCCCGGGCCCCCATGCGGTGTGGACATGTGCAAATTCTGGCCTCGGACGGGAGGAGAGGGGAGGAGGAGCACGCCGAGTGCCCCGGCGACCGACCCCCCCCCCTGCGAATCGGTCGCCATCAGGTAGGCCAGAGCGCTCCATAACGCTCCCGTGCGCTCCAGAGCGTTCCAGAGCGCTCTCGAACGCCAGAGCGTTTCGAGAACGACCGGATGAGGATGAATCGTTCCAGAGCGTTCCAGGACGCTCTCGGGGCGCTCTGGAGCGCGGTCGACCAGCCGCGGCGCCCTCCAGACCTGCTGGCTCTCGGGGACCCCCGATATCCGATATGTCTGCACCAGACTCGTCCTCGTCCTGCCTTCGTCTTAGGTGGGGCCGTCAGTCAGTCCGGTCGGCTCGCGTTCCGGGCCCACCCTGTCGGGATCTCCTCCTCGTCGTGGTCCTCCTCCCTCTGCTTTGCTCCCTGTCTTGCTGATCTGTGTCGTCCGCGTCCCCCTCTAGTACTCCTCCCCCTATCCAGTACCCCTCCCCCTGTTCAATTCCCCAATCCCTCGCGTCTTCCTCCTCCTCAGCCGCCTCCTCCTCCTCCTCCTCCTCCTCCTCCTCCTCCTCCTTCTACTTATCAGTTCGTCTCCTCCTCCTCCTCTTCTCCTCTTCTCCCCTCCTCCCTCCTCCCTCCTCCCTCCTCCCTCCTCTCTCCACCTCCTCCTCCTCCTTCTCCTCATCCCCGAGGGCTATGGCTATTCTCTGGGAATGGCTGGGTCTTATATGTTTGACGCCTCCTTGCGGCTTATAGTTGCACTGCTGTGACCCACCTCCAAGGGATATGTCGCGGCAAAGTGACTTCGGATATTTCTCGAAGGCGACTTGAACGCCTTCTGGCGGGCTGTGGCCCACGCGCTGATGCTGCGATCGGCACGGTGATTATCCCCATCTTGGGAATTTGATGTTTCACGACTTCAGTGGAGCACCCTGAGGCTACTTACCCTGGGCTCCACTTGCCTCCCCTTTCCCTCCAAGCACCCGCACACGAATACATATCTGGCGCGTTTGGTGTATGAAGTCGAGTCGGGCGACAGTGCACGCTCCCGCCTTGACGCCGGTGGCGTTTTGAAGCGAGGGGCGCGCGGATGCTGATGCCCTGCAGGCCGAGCGCACATCCCCAAAGCACTGGGTGACCGGGAAGACCGGTGTTTTTCGGCTTGGGCTTGTGCTGGCGCTTTTTGCCCCAGAGAGTACGGTGGCATCGCCCTCCATGTAGGACTCTTGCTGTTCGGGGTCTCTTAACCCCCAGTTCTCTCTGTTGCTGCCCTCGCTCGCCCATGTTTCCATACGGGGTCCCCGGGACCGCGCCCGGGGGGAGGTCACCTGACGACCTCTGGCTCGTCTGACCGCTGCGATCTCTTGGCCCTGGTGCCAGCTGTGGGGGAATAGCGCTTACCGCCCGGGCGCGGGCGCGGCGCGCCTCGGACGCCTCCCCGCTCCGCCCCGCGCGGGCGGCAGCCGCCGCCGCAGCTGCCGCCGTCGGCCGTTCCGCTGCGGGCGTCCTGTCGCTCGTCTGTCGCTGTCGCTGTCACCGTCGCCGTCTCGGACGGCGTCGGCGCCGTCGTCGCCGTCGCGGCCTGTGGCAGTTTGTTTCGTCTCTGCCTGGACATGTGCCCCTTCGTGGCCTCGCGCGAGGCCAACCAGCATCCTGGAGTCCTCCACCTCCTGTTATCCTTCTTCTCTATCGTAATGTGCTCCCACTCTGCTACGAATCTGGCCGATAGCAACTCAATCCAGGTGGGCTCATCCTATCCAGCTGCCTCCGGCAATTCCGCCATCCTGCCAGCGCAGCATTCTTTGGGTGGCAGCTATTCGAGAAAACAGCTGGCCTGCTGAGGGCCTCTTGGGGCAGAGGGCTCGAATCCTTGGTTCGTATTCCCACTGTTGGGCCCTTCTTGGGACCGTCTTGGGGCCCTCTTAGGCAGTTTTGAGCAGTTTCGGGGCCGTCTTGGGGCCGTCGTGGGGCTGTCTTGGGCCGTCCAGGGATCCTCTGAGGCTGTCTTGGACCCTTCTGGAGGCGCTTCAGGGCCAGCTTGAGGCGTTCTTGAGTCCATCCTGGGCTGTCTAGGAACCCTCTTTGGCTGTCCTGAGGCCGTCTTGGAGGTCTCTTGGGCTATCTTGAGGCCCTCTTGGGCCGTCTTGGGGCCATCCCAGAGGCCTCTTGGGCCGTCTTGAGCCGACGGATGGACGCGCTGGAGAGCGCCAAGAGGTGTAAAGCATCCCAGGAAACCTCGGGAAGAGGGGGCGGTGCACGCAGGTGGGCACTTCGAGAGCGGGGGGGTGGCCCAGAAGCCTGCTAGAAGCCCTGCCAGGCAGCACTTGGCATTCTATCACGCGTCAACGTGCCAGGGGGCACGGTGGCGGACCTGTCAAACAAACGATACGACATCAGTTTGACGTTTCAACACGGACCTTATATCGTCCACGCAAATTGCGAGGTCCTGCGCGAAAGGCCGAAATGTCACTCGCGCCAGGGCGCCGCGCTCAGTTAACAGGAAAATTGAGCTCCCGCTTGGACGCGGCGCGTATTTCTCGCCTGAAAATGGCGCCCCCGCCTCGGCGGGGCGCATATCTTCCACTCGCTAATTTCAGGAGGGCCGCGCGAATGGGCGATTTGTCGCCCTCGCCGAAATTCCATGCGAATTTCGCTCGGAAGTGGGATCCTGCGCGGGCGCTGCACATGGTTTGTTCATCGAAGCGCATGAACGCGACAGCGGCAGCGGGGCCGCGCGAGAGCGGGCGAATTGCCGACCTCGCCCAAGTGCCGCGACGTTTGTGAGTGAAAGTGGCAGGCTTTGCTGCCCTACCCCTGCGCGGCCCGCGTAGTTATCCCTTCGGCAAGTCGTCGGAAGCGGGGCCGCGCGCGAACGCCGTCCGTTTGCGAGGTGGGAACGCACTCCGATCCCAGTACCAAGCTGTGCTCCACTTGATTATTTCTGTCGTGGGAGGGAGGGTGGGCATGGGCGGGGGCCCTGGGCCACTCGACCTGGCCAGCCTGACACTTCATCCTCCTCCTCCTCCTTCTCCTCCTCCTCCTCCTCCTCCTCCTCCTCCTCCTCCTCTCATTTTCATCCTTGTCGTGCCACCAGGCCAGGCGTTTCGGTTGAGATCCTTTGAAATTCAGTATCCCAGAGCTTGCACTCTCAGCAGTTGCACGGATGGAGTGCCAGGGTTTTCAAAAGGTGGCTCTGCCATTAGCGCCGGCCATCTTCGTTTGGCATGGGACGTGTTTTCCACAGTTGCACGGATGAAGGGCCGGTCGTTTTCAGAATGCTGCTTTCGCCTGATCGCGGCGCGCGTGCGTCTCAATCGTTTCCAGCAGCTACTCTGATGGAGGCAGGCACGTTTCCAAAATTCGGCTCTCGCATATCGTGTGACCGGAGTTGCAATTTTTTTGGCATCAGCTATGTGCCACGATGCAGGGCGGTTCTTGTTCAAATCGGGGTAGCCGCTAGAGACTTGCTTGAACATTAACCCGCAGTGAAAAAAGAAAACGCCCCAACGTGTCGAGCCCTGGTCCTCCCTCATCCCCGCGGTGGCGCGCGGTCAGCGGTGTGGTCTGATGGCTCATGCGTGGCCTTGTCCCCGCCCCCCCCCTCTGCCCGCAGGCACGCGCGGCGGAGCCGACCTACGCGGCTGCCGCCAGCGGTAACGGCGGTGTGTACGGGGTGGAGCCGACCTACGCGGGTGCCGCTGGCGGTGCTGGCGGGGGTGCCGCTGGCGGTGCCTCTGGGGCCTTCGGCGGTGCCTCTGGGGCCTTCGGCGGTGCCTCTGGGGCCCTCGGCGGTGCCAGTGGCACCTTCGGCGGGGCCAGTGGGGCCTTCAGCGGTGCCGGCGGTGCCCCTGGGCCCGTGGTCGTGGAGCAGCTGCCCCCGGCGAGCCGGCCGGACGGGCCGGCCCCCCTCCTCCGCAGCATGATGGCCACCCAACTCAGGGCGTTCTTGAGAGGGCCTGGCCTTCCCAGACATCCAACGACTTGAAAAATCAAGACGGAGGTTTCTCGCCGTGTTCGTCTTGTGGAGGCCCTCGCCAGACCCCGGGATCGTCAAAAACCGCTTCGGGATGAATATCGGCGGCGAGCCCAGGAGGGAAGTGAGAAGGAGAAGGCCTCCTCAGAAGGCTCGGGAGTTCGGAACTCCCGAGCCTTCTGAGGAGGCCTTCTCAAAGGCGGGGAAACTTCCCCCGCCTTTGAGAATTTTTTAAAGCCGTCCCCGAAGACGCGGAAAACTTCTCAGAAGGCGAGAGGGTTTCTGA